TCATCTGCTCTGATCAGATACATCTCTCTCCTGGAGCCGCGGATTCAGTGCCGTCCTTTGAAATAAATTCTTCTCGGGGGAGGGGCATATTTCAACTTTTCAACTTAATCTTTAACCTATGCAAAGATGTAATGTTTTGTTCTTCAATCTTGGAAGCCAGGAATTTTTTTCCCTGACTGATCAGTAAATGTACCATTTATGTCATTCGCCTAAAATGAAATTTCTTTAAGGCCTATTTACATGTAATCTGTAATCTGTGTGAGTCAGAACTTAAATGAGGCCATTTCCCTGGATAGTTATACATTCATGGGTGAATTTCTCTTTCTCTGCATCTGTTTTCCAACTCTGCAAACTAGAATAATTTAACTGTTGTTAAACTTTGATTTCACTCAAACCTTTCTTGATTCTGTGACATATCTTTATCCAAGTTTTCTAGTTCCTATACATTTGGGTAATAATAATGGTGCTTTTTTTATTATTAAGATATGATTTTACTGGGGGCTCTTACAGCTCCTAGAACAATTCATACATCAGTTGTGTCAAGCATATTTGTACATATGTTACCATCATTATTTTCTAAACATTTTATTTTCTATTTTAGCCCTTGGTGTCCACTAATGCCTCTTTTTTTTTTGCCACAGGTACTGCTAAGATATTTGATAAGCCAAGGAAGCGGAAACGACAGAGGCATGCTATTGCCAAGATGCAATATAAAAGAGTGAGAAATTACAATGCATCAAAGGAGACTGCAGGTTCAGAGGTATTATTCAGTTCCGGGTCTTTTGATCTTTTGAAGGACAGCATCTTCTCACAATAGAGGCCACCTCCCTCTTTCCCTTGAGTTTACTTTAGTGTTCTTTTGAAGTAGCTGCTAGCTATGAGACTTCAAGTAGAACAGCCCTGGGCCTTGTGAAAAATCAAGGCATCTATGGGAAATGTGGGTATAGCCTTTTAAAAGATCAGATCCAAAGCTCCAGTTATCCGATAAGTAATTCATCCTAATGGAAACTTATTCCTCAGACCAGAGGTAGTCTCCCCAAGTAACCATGAACATCAATGAACCTATGACAATTTAAAATATGAGCCTGCTGCGATTAGTGGGAAAAATAAGTCATTTGCTTATATCTTAAGATCATCAACATTATTTTTAGATAATGTTTTCAAACATTGACTTTGAGAAACAAAAATTGACTTGATACCATTTCCTTGCAGGGCGTCAGTGCAGTCACTGATGTCTCTGGCTTTCTATTCAAGATTAAAGCGAAGTAGAATGAGCCAGGTCCGAGTGTTTCTTTCCAGGACAAATTGAGTAGAATGCCCAGGGGGGGGGACATTATATAGGAAACACTGGTCTCGGCAGGACAAATAAGTAATCCAATAAACTTAAGAATGTTTTCTCTCCCTTAGTGAAACCTTAAAGTGGAACAGCTCAGAAAGTTCCAGTGGAACAGCCTCAGAGCAGTTAGTGGCAGGGCATGAGGCGCCCACTACCCGCCCAATCACAGCAGGGTTAGAACTAACATTGCATGCAGTCCGCCCACGTGATTGGCTGAACATCTGTAAGTGCTTAATGACTAGACAAATAGCAGCCCTGAGGGAGGGGGTCAGATGGAGGAGACATCAATAACACAGATGTGGGACGTTGTTTTTTTCTCTGTAAGGGAGAACTGATGGCACATGGCACGGCAGCAAGCCCCAAGGAGGCCACTGAGGATGGTGTAGAGCACGACCATGGGATGCCTGCATCTAAAAGAATGCAAGGTGAACGTGGGGGAGGAGCTGCCCTCAAGGAGAACGTTTGTCAGGTAGAGAATGCTCACTTCTATTTTGATTGCATGTTTTTTATTATGCTTGTTCCAGTGGAGACACATCCTTTGCATATTTTACTCCTTCCCCTCCCCACAAAAATAAAAGCAAATAATTTGTGTTGGTGTACTACCCGCCTTTGTAGTCAGTGGGCACATGCTTTGAAACATGTCTGAAATGATGGATGGGAGTATAGCAATGCTTAGTCAAATAGACTTCTCCTTTCCCTCTTAGAGTTTATGAATTGGGGGTTCCAAGGTCTTTTCCTAGATTACTTTAGCGGTTAGATTGGGGGATGGCCCTTTTAAGTAATAATTGTATAGATTTTATCACCATGTTGTCCCATGTATTTAATAGATTCAGTGTTTATTATGTAAAGTATATTGTTCCTGGTGTTTATTGTGTTCATTACTATTCTGAACACTTTATTAGCATTGCATGGTTCCAATATCATATAACCCCATGAAGTAGTACAATGCCATTATTACTCCTGGTACATTGGAGGGAACTATGACCCTAAGAGGTTAAACAACTTAGAGTCATATAGCAAATCAAGGTTTAAAGCCCAGGCTGTTTAGGTTTAGGTTCCCAATCATTAACTTAAATTGCCTCTGGATATATTGATAAAGAACCTTTATCTGACTTTGGAAGTAAAGTCAATCAAATGGATATTTTGTTTTTCATTTGCCTATGTAAATTCTTTTAACCAGAAGCACCAGTAGTTGAGAACACAAGCTTTTTTGTTGGTTTATTTTATTTATTTTAATTAGAACAAGTATAATGTAAAATATACCTTAGCCCCAGTATATTGTTGAGATCAATACCACGTCAGCCAAATTTCTTTGTATATTTGTTTTTATTTTAAAATAAAAAAGACTATGAGCCTATCCAGACCAGGCCCCCAAAACAATGTTAGTAAATAATGTTAATACACATTATTTACTGAGTGAGACAAGTTTGATGTATAAAAATACTTTATAAAGATTACTAACAACATATAATTGAAGGCTGTCCTAAATAGACATGCGAAATCTTTGTTTAAAACTATTGTGTTGATATGATTTCTTATCGCCTTCTTTAACTCTCAAGTGTATTAAATTGGAACAGTGGTTCTCAACCTTCCTAATGCCGTGACCCTTTAATACAGTTCCTGATGTGTGGTGACCCCCCCCCCCAACCATAAAATTATTTTCATTGCTACTTCATCACTGTATCTTGCTACTGTTATGAATCGGGCAACCCCTGTGAAAGGGTTGTTTGACACCCCCCCAAAGGGTTCACGACCCACTGGTTGAGAACTGAATTGGAAGACTAAGAGATTAATTCCTGGCATTTCTTCAATTTGAAAAGCTAATCTTTATTTTATACTGTACTAGGTTTTCCTATTTACCCAATAGAAATTAATTTGTTGACTAATGCTTGAAAACTGTTATCACTGGCACTTGGAATAAACAAAGCAAAGTATATAACATTGATAACATTGATCAGTTTTTATTTGTGAATAGTGGGTAATGGGAGGGGCACAAATTGAAGAATGTCTCAAGCTCCGGGTTGATTAACAATTCCTGTAAATCCTGGGCTGCCTCCCTGGCTCTCCTGCTCATTTGCTTATTTCAACTTTTATGTTCTCAAGTGGTCAAGACCTTTGTCTTTCTTTGTCTTTTGAAAGACAATAGTTTCCCATGTCTCATTCCTCCTTTTGTTTTTCAGAATAACCAGATTACATATTAGACCTTTCTTTTTATCAAATACCATTTTCCTCCAAATCACTAGAGGTTACCAAGGTAAACTTTTGAAAAGTAATAAATCTTGGGAATTTATAGGGTTATTCTGACAAATTTTTCTTGGAGAGTAATAGATCTGGGTCATTATTTCCCAGGTCCATTCCAGGAGAGATCATTGCAGAAAGGTAATATCCCTGTAGGTTATGCTTGACTTAGTGAAATAAAGAGCTGCTCAGATCTTGGTAGGAGTTCTTTGGGAAGTGCTATAACCCAGGGTCCAGCCCACCAGAATCTCTAGTTTAAACCTTTTCTTATTTCATCTTTCAACTCTTGAACTCATTTTCCACGTAGCAGTTAGAAAGGTTTTTTAAAAAAAATAGATGTGATGTAAGCATTCCCTGGTAAAGCTCTTTAGTGGCATGCTATGCTAGAAGGATGAGACCTCCCACTCTACCGCAATCAGTAGTTAAGACTTGCTTTTCTCTCATCTCATCACTCTTCACATTTCTCTCTTACACCGTACGTTTCACTAGTTTTATCTTTTGTTCAATTTATTCCAGTCATACTAGCCTTCTTTGTGATTCTCACGCATAACAGTGGTTGTTTGTGCTTCTTCCTTTCTGATTCTCCCCTCAGATCTCTCCATCTTTGGCTGGATTTTCATCCAGAGCCCAGTGTGAGAGGCCATTCGTTGTGTATTGCCTCTTGCCCAATCCAAAGTAGCTAATTTTCTGCCTAGTACTTAACCTCTGTCTGGTATTTTGCCTGCTTTCTTATTTGTCTGGTTTTATTTTCTATATCTAAAATATAAAAATCACCAGTGCTGGAGAGTGTGGTGCCCGGTACAGAGAAGGTAATCAGAGACTGCCTACCTGGGATTCTGTTTTAAAAACCTACTCTGTAGCCAAATGTTTTCTTTCTCTGAACAGAACTGTGAGAAGCTGGGGGAGCTGCTGTTGTGTGAGGCCCAGTGCTGTGGGGCTTTCCACCTGGAGTGCCTTGGGTTAACTGAGATGCCAAGAGGAAAATTTATCTGCAATGAATGTCACACAGGTAAAGTAAATAGAGAATATTCTTCTTTCAAAGAAACTTTGAGTTTTGGGTTTTTCATGGGAATATTTTTTTAACAACCAATAACATATGAGATGATATTTTGTCGCGTCTCTGGACTAATTGTTAAAGGCACAGGGATGGGTGCAGTGTGGCTTCTGCCTTGAGAGAAGCATACTGAGTGAGTAGTGTCTGATTAACATTGTAATGGTGATGCATTTGAAGTTCTGTGGGAAAAAATACATGAGCGAATGTCATAAAGGAAGCTATCCCAGTTTAGCTTTAGCACAGAAGCTAACCCAGTTTAGAAATTGGTGTGGAAAGGACATAAGGACCAGCAATGAAAGCGTTTAGGGATTATGCATTTAGAGCAGTTGTTAATTTTAAGGAAGGAGTCATAAGTAGCAACTATGAAGGGGCAACGAGTTGAGAACTTCTGTATTCTCAATGTTTTATGTTTCTGGACCTAAGTAGTGATTAGCATGTTTACTTCATGAATATCTATGCAGCTATAAATGTTGCATTTATGCAGTTGTGTATGTCATATTTCAATAAAACGGTTTACCAAGACAAAATATATTTGAAGAGAGTTTAAATATTTAGATTTGATCTGACACTGGCAATTGATAGTTGAATCTCTTGGCTTTGAAATACTTCATAAGGTGTGCTGAGAGGATTGTTCTGTTTTGCAACATGATGTGAGAAGGTCATATCACTCAAGTGGCTAAGAATTAAAGACGGCAGCATAGAGAAGATGGGCAGGGATAATACCTAGAGATATGCCAAAGTACAAAGTACCACTGGAGAGGGAAAGAGGCTAGTCAAAGAAATTCCATGAAATCCCATGAGTTGGGTTATCAGCAGTGTTAGGTATGTGATAAAAGACCAAAGAGATTCTGAAGTCTATTGTCTAGTATTTCACCTTGAGAACATGTTTGACTTTTGCCAGCAGCGTGTGTGACATTAGAGCCACAATAAATTAAGCTTGAGGTTGAGTACCCAGTGTGTGTGTGTGTGTGTGTGTGTGTGTGTGTGTGTGTGAGATGCTTAAAGACTGCAAGGCAGGTATAGGGCTCAGGTAAAGAACATCTTGAGTGTTTATAGGACAAAGATTTAGAAACTGTTTAGGACAGTGAACTTTGCATTGGTAGAGGAAGTGAGCAGTGAGTAGTCACAGAGGGCTAGAAAGGATGGTGCTGAAGAGAAGAGAACCAAAGCTAGGTCTCCCAGGGGCTTTCTCATAGAATTGAGAGGGAGAATGCCTCTGTGGGAATTGAGACAGAATGAACCCTTGCTTATAGATGTGTGATGTGGCCTTTGCCACATTGAGGGCCCTAATTAGTTGGGACACTTACTTAATTTTTCTGCAGCATGTCAGCAGTGTTGGAAGAAAAGATAACTGCAGTTATTTTGCTTTCTGCACAGTTGGACTTTTGTTAAGAAATAGTGCCTTCTACTTCTGAACATGAAATTTAGAAAAACCTTTCTGTTGGGTTCCTGTCGGCCCTATCCCAGTGTTAGAAAGGTATCCTTGCCTCTTGTTACCAGTGTTCTAGTTTTGCCGTTCTTTTATTTTTCTCCTTTAATTATTTTATTCGATGGTGACTGAGCTGAATCCCTGAACCTTCCATCTTAGCCCCAGCCCCACCCAGACAAGGGCAGGAAAAGGCAGAGCCTGGAATGCAGCAGGGCAGGGCTATTTGTAGTTTTGCCATTCTTATTCTTTTTGTTGTGATGTGCTCTGGATATGTTTATCTCAGGCGAGGCGATGCACTTTTTTAATCAGTTTTATCCAAGTATAATTTACCCATTACAAAATACTCTGTGAAAACATTGTTAGAAATTTTAATGCACATTTTGTGATGGCTTTTAATAAATTTAGACACCCAAGTAACTGCAACCATTGAGCACCAGTGAACATAACGAACTTGGGATCACTCCAGAAATTCTCATGTGCTCCTTCTCTTTCATTCCTCACTGCCGTAGTCCCTAGCTCTAGCGATGAGATTTATCTTTTCTCTAATTTTATTAAATGGAAGCTAACAGTATGTACTTTCTATTTAAGTAATTGGAAACTGACTTTTTTTTTACATTAAATAATTCTTACACATTTTGTTTCATCTCAGTCATTGCAATCCCTTCAATATACCATCACTTAAACCACTTCCTCTCCGTGTTTTCTTGTTTCCATTCCTTCTCCTTTCCTAACCCTCTGAGCTTTGTCCTTGGGCAAATGCCATATCATTTTAAATGATTGATCATTCTTAAGTTGTGCCTGCTTCCTAGAGGTACACTCCTTAGCAACCTTTATGGGCAACCCTAGTGTAGATTCAGTTCTACTGTGACATTTAGAGTCATTTTGAGATGGAATAAACTCAAAGGAAATAGGTTTTATTTTCATGCAATCTTTGTATGGTATGTATCTACACCCCCCCCCCCCAATAAATGCTTAAGAGTAGAATGTCTAGATTCTCTGGGTGGTTTAACTTTCTAAGAAACTGCTTATTTTCAAAAATAGTTGTACTAGTTTACATTCCTATCAGTATAGTAGGAGAGTTCCACTTCTTCCACATATTACCCAGTCCTTGATATCATCAGTCTTTTTCATTTTAGCCACTCTGTTAAATGTGTAGCATTATTTCATCTTGTTTTTTAATTTCCATTTCTCTAATGACTGGTGATGGTAAGCATCTTTTCATTTGTTCATTTCAAGTTTTGTGTATGGACTGAGGCTTGAAGAAGTGACGGTTTTTGAGGTTCAGAATTGTGAAGTATATCACAGTCCCAGTAAATTTAATATTATTAGATAGAGTTGTTTCCTATCATATGGGTTAATCTGTTTTCCTGCAATCAGAACACACTGTAATTTTTAGGTAATTCTAGTTCAGTTAATTAGCTGCCAGCTGTCAACACTGTTTTACTTTTTTATAAATAGTATTTTAAATCCCGTCCACCACCACCCCCCACCCCCCTTGTAATTGTTAACAGCTAGGTGCTCTCAGCTTATAAGGATTATTTGAATGCTCTCCTTTTTCTGGTCCAGGTTCTTCCAACTTTAAACCTGGGTTCTTTTCTATACCCTGCACTACCTCTAAGAGAGGTGGATTCCTGTTGTTGTTGTTGTTATTGAAAGCTTCAACACAAAAATAAGTGATTGTAAAGAAACTTCACCTATCTATTATTTGGCCTCAAAACTTAGTTGCTTTCTGCCTCAGCTAAAAACAGATAGAACCATTATATGTCTCATATATAACAAGATTATATGATAAGCTCATGTGTGGCAACTATTTACTACTCAGGGCATTTTCAAATTTTCCCATTTGTTCTACAGTTATTTGAAATCGATTCAATTGGGGTCTATGCATTGATGTTTTGTTTCATATTTCTCTTAAGATTTTCTTAATCTACAACAGTATTGTCTTCCCACCACCACCAAGTTTGGAAACAGCATATAGTTCTCATATGAACCTTGAATGGTGGGATGGTGTTTTCTCTGTTAGCAAATAGAGAACAACTCCCGTTGTTTTTATATTTACTTGTTTTGATGACTGAGGAGGAACGATGAGGATTCAGTCTCAGAATCCCACAGGGCAGTTCTACCCTGTCCTTAGAGTGTCGTCATGAGTTGAAATTGACTCAGAAAAGTGAATCAGGTTTGCTTTGAAATTTGATGGGCTGTTTACCGTCATTTCTCTATTTTCTGTAGTTTCTATAAACCTGTACTTAGAGCTAGAGGCTAAATTTAGTTTGGGTACAAGAGTGCTGCATAGATGACATTGTGTGCTTAGTATTGCTTTGATTCACTAAGCATGTAGCCCCAGATTGTCTTACGTTTAGGGATAGTATCATTGTTCTGTGCATACAGATTTTGTCAGCCTGAGAAGACTATTATTATAAAGATCCTTACTTATTTCTCGCCCTATGACTTAACTTTAGAATTGACATGCATTTGTGACCCCGCTTCTGTTTTTCAGGAATACATACCTGTTTTGTTTGTAAACAAAGTGGGGAAGATGTAAAAAGGTGCCTTCTGCCCTTGTGTGGAAAATTTTACCACGAGCAGTGTGTCCAGAAATACCCACCCACTGTCATGCAGAACAAGGGCTTCCGGTGCTCCCTCCACATTTGTATCACCTGCCATGCTGCTAATCCAGCCAGTGTTACTGCATCGAAAGGTATGAGTTCTACGTAGACTGAATTTATTATATAGTGTCTTGGCATCCAATGCAAAAGATATATTCATTTGCAATCTAGCACGTTTCTTCAGGGCTTCCCTCTTAAGTTTTGTCTGTTAGTTAGGGTACCAGCCTTACATGTAGGAGAGAAAAAAAGTAGAATGGCCATTTCAATATTCTCTGGAGCCCTGGAGTTATGTGGCAGTTATTATTTGGATTTCATGTGAGAATTTGCAAAAGTGTTTTACTGCGTGCCCTTTCCTCCCTATTTCCTCTGTTCTCTTAAGGGGAGGGAGAAAAAGTGGGGATAATAAATGGCCAGATGAGAAGGCCAAAGGGTATTCTTCTGTGAGGCCTTAAATTTATTGTTATCAGATCTTATGCCCTCCAGAGATGCAAATCAGTACAGAATCTAGGTGTTTGTTTTGATTTGGTTTATATTAAAAATGGAAAGTTCTCTAACTTTTCTGCTTCATAGAGTACATATTTCCAAAATTGCCTGCATATGTAGGTAAATTTCTTCTCATTAGGTATATATTGGTTTTCTTTGTTCAAAGAGAGTAGGTCTTTTGCTAAATTTCTTTTACCCTCAAAACCAAATACTATAGTTTTTTACACTTTAGTAGGAGATTAAATATTTTTAATATAGTTGTGATGACTTTTCTGTTCATCTAATTGAGGGTACCTTTTATTAAGTGCTTTCTTGGCTTTGTAGGTCTCATCAAGGAGTCCTGGTGACTCAGGGGTTAAGTACTTGTTAGGCTGGCTGCTAACAGATCAGCAATTCAAAAATGCTCAAAGATGTGGCAGTCTGCTTCTGTAAAGATTACAGCCTTTGAAGCCTTACAGGACAATTCCAGTCTGTACTATAGAGTTAAATTTTAGTTAGCATTCAACTTGATAGCAGAGGGTTTGGTTTTGTTTGAGGAGGGAGGCTCTGATAATCAGAGAAATGTTTGTTTTTTTGTTCAGAGTTCTCATTCTTTCCGATAATGGAGTAATTTTAACATGCTTGATTGAAATTTCAGTTTAACCCATCAGCTAGTTTTTCTTTTTTCCTTAGTGAGTGTAGGCAACCACCTTAAATGTAATGGTTTCTCGTTGAGGTATATTAGAAGATGTGTTTCATTTCAGTGAGGTGGACAGGCTCACCTGCAGAAGCCTATGAGTCAGAATCAACTTGGTGGCAATGAGTTTGAGTTTTGGGGCGACAAATACAGGCATTCGTGTTATTATAGCTCACCCTCCTCACTCTTCATTTAGTGTGTGGTTAAACTACAAATCAAGGTAGTAGTTTGAGTAGGTCTTTCCTTGGAGGAGAGGAAGTACACATACATCTGACTCATTTAGAATATTATGCAGTTCCTTTAGAAGCTTTCCTGGTGCTGGGTTATGAGCTATGTTAGCAAATAGATCATATTTTTATCTTTAATTTTGTTATTTGTTTTTGCTTACTCCTTGTTTTTCTTGTTTCTCATACTTTCAGGGCGTCTGATGCGCTGTGTTCGCTGCCCTGTGGCATATCACGCTAATGACTTCTGCCTGGCCGCTGGGTCAAAAATCCTGGCTTCTAATAGTATCATCTGCCCAAATCACTTTACCCCTAGGCGGGGTTGTCGAAATCATGAGCATGTTAATGTTAGCTGGTGTTTTGTGTGCTCGGAAGGTAAGACATGATTTCATGTTGTGCGGGTAGCACAGTATTGATTATAAAAACATACTTGCTTCATGTTGCCAATTAAAGAAATAATAGGAAATGATCTCAATTAATGACAGTCTTTTAAAGTTGATTTGCTATTTTGAATATTGGTTTCAAACTAAAATGGTCAACAATTATGCAATTCAGAAAGGACAGAGAAAGAAAAAAAATCACTCCAAACCTCATTATAGAAACTACCATTACTAATTGTCACTACTTTAGAAATCTTTGCATAGATACAGTTACAAGAATCTTCTTTGTGGGGAACCTAATTTACTATGCAATCTTTCACCTAAAACACAGTAAAATATAAAATTTAAAATTACCAGTGGAAAGGGTGCTAGAATTGTGGGAAATAAAAAGAATTACATTATTTGAAAAGTAGTCCAATTAATGCAATCTTATGCATTATCTCATTTTCATTTAACATAACTGTGGCCTTCAAAGAGATAACAATTTAGTTGGAAAATAGAGACGAATATACCTAAAAGGTAAGCGTTGTAACAAAAAATATAACAAGGGAGGAAAGAATCTTCTTTGGTAGATAGAATTCTAGAGGCCGGATCAAAAGAATAGGCCGGATCAAAAGAATTATTTTTCAAAACAACCTTAATTTTCAAAGATAGTTTATATATATATACACACAATTCACCCATTTAAAATATTCACAGGTATTAAGAGATAATAAATTTGATGGCATCCACTGTATTTTATAATCTTTCGCTATTTGTGCTTTTGGTATCATACCTAAGAACCTATTGTCAATAAATAGGTCTCTGCCGTTTTCCTATTTTGTTCGAAGAATTTAAGGATTTGGTTCAGGGGTCCTCAAACAACGGCCCGCGGGCCACATGTGGCCGGCTGAGGACATTTATCCAGGCCGCTGGGTGTTTTTGCCCCATTTTGTTTTTTTACTTCAAAATAAGATGTGTGCATAGGAATTTGTTCATAGTTTATTTTTAAACTGTAGTCCAGCCCTCCAATGGGTCTGAGGGACAGTGAGCCTGGCCTCCTGTTTAAAAAGTTTGAGGACCCCTGTTTTAGCATTTACATTACGTTGTTTCATTTTGAGTTCACTTTGATGTTTGGTGTGTCCAGCTTCATTTGCTTAGAAATTCTGTTGTCCTGGCTTTATTTATTAGAGATCTTGTTCTTTTCATAGGAGGCGTCGTGGTGTACTAGGTTACATGTTGGGCTGCTAACTGCAATATTGGCAGATCAAACCACCAGCTGCTCTTGGGAGAAAGAGGAGGCTTTCTGCTCTTGTTAAGATTTACAACCCTAGAAACCTTAGGGAGCAGGTCTGCTCTGTCTATGGGGTTGCTATGAGTTAGAATTGCCTCAATGGCAATTGGGTTCATTATTCTTTTCCTACTAAATGGACACCTTAGCCCAGGAATTATGTTTTAATCCCAACAGTATACACTTAACTCGTTCTTCAAGTGTAACAATGCTACCTTACAAGAATTTCATGGGTAAACCTTACAGTACCCACTCTTCAACCATCATCTTGTCCCTTCAGTTTTCTTTCCACCCCTCAAACTCGGAGAACATTTCAGAGGAGAACAATTTGAGTCCATTGAGGATGCCGAAAGTGGTGTAAGTTGCAGAGCGCAGAAATCTTTAAGGAAGGATTAGACAGATGGAAACACCATTTCCCAAACACCTGATGAGGATATGTTGAGAAACACTAGCTTCTTCACATTTGATATTTTAGTTTAATAAAGGTTCCTATGATTTATATCAATATTCAACTAGTATTTTCTAATTTTTCATTTGATTTCTATTTGACCCCTTGTTTATTTAGGAGAAAGTTGTTTAATTTTTGTGTATTAGTGGGTTTTCCCCTCCAAGACCCCTGCTTTTGATTTCTAATTTCATTTTATTGTGATTAGAAAACATATATTGTCCTTTTAAATTTATTACTGTTAGAACTTTTACAAAACAAATTAGAACAAGTTTATGTCCTGTCAAATTTTTTGAGCTTTATCTGTAGTTATCCCTGGTTGTTTTTTTTTGTTTTGTTTTAATATACTTTGGTCTTAGATAGTTTCATATGATTTCTTATCATTGCTGTGTCCTTGATGTGTATCTTTCTTCCTGTTTACTTTCAATCTGTTTGTGACTTTGAATCTAAACTGTCCTCTGCAAACCATGTCATTAGCTCTATTTTTTTATTTTGACAAATTTTGTTTGATTGCATTGTTTAATTTATTACATTTTAATTGTGTTATTAATAGTGTTGGATTTATACTTGTCATTTTATTTTTTGCTCTCTTTATGTCACATTATTTTCCTTGCATTCTTTTTTTTTTCTTTTCCTTATATTCTTACTACTACTTTTTTGCCAATTATAGTGTAACAATTCAATTCATCTTTTTCCTGATACCAAATATATGACATATAATAAATAAAATCAGAATCTAAATCTTTACCTTTCATTTTTTGTATACATCTAAAACCTGTTACACATATGCCTCATCATCTTATACTGCTAGTCAACTAAAGCCATGGCTAAGCTCACAAGTTAAAGCCCCATATTCTCAAATAGGCTGAAGTTTTCATATTTGAGCTGCAAGTATGGCTGTCCATACCACCCCCTCACTTTTGACCTGCTGATTATAAATATTAAATTTCCTCTACCCTACCCCCCCACCAACAATAGTAATTGTTCTCCTCCCCCTTTTCTGTACTTCACTGTGCACCACTACGACTTTTGGTTTTATATAATGTGTTGGAATGGCACATGGAAGTCATAGAAAGACATATTCAAGGGGGTCTTCAATGTGCTCCTGTAAAATTTTCATGATCCTTTTCCATTTTGCCATAAACTTTTAGAAAGTTGATTGTATTAGGAGTATATTTATTAAAATGAAAAGGATACATCTGATATGTATGGCAAGTTCCAAAAGTGTTCCTAGCACGGAGGTTCACTTTTACTAAAAATTGCTGTGCAAGTAAACTCCCATGGGTTTTGATATTTTTCACCAATCAGGAAGCCATGGAGCTTCTGTGTACAGAAGTACACAGGTATTGACTTGATTAATTTAGACTTTATTGAGACATTGTTGCATAGGTATGACTGATTGAATCTTTATCCTCACTCCTTGTTAGCTGTTCAAACCACAGGTCTTTGTGGTGGCCGTTCTGATTTGGCTAGACACCACACAAAATAACACAAACACTCAGATGTGGTTTATATGTAACAAAAATAACTCAATTATTCATAAAATTCTGAATGTTACCTCTGAGGGAATAAAGGCAGTTTATTCTGGATAATCTTACTTTGTCGACCTCTATCTGGTCTTTCTGTTACACTTATGTATATCACAACCCCCTAAATAAATTTTTATTATTGTTGCTTTAAATTTTAGTCACTCTTTAGCCTACGATATTTATACTCCCAACCATTTCCTTTATGGCAAATATATTACACATGTTACATTTCAATTGAAGGAAGGAAAAAAATGTGAATTCAAACTTTCTCTTTTTTGTAGTAGCTAACGAAAACTTATGAAGATTCTTTGTTTTGCTCCTGAATTAAAATTACTACCTGTAACCATCTGTTTACTTTCTACAAAACTTTTTAAATCTTAAATAAATCTACAGTTTATGTGGGAAAATGTTTTTTCCCCTTCATTTTTGAAAGATAGTTTTTCTTCGTTCATTAATAATTTTTGTTCAACATTTTTAAAAAATCATTTTATTAGTGGCTCATACAACTCTTATCACAACACATACATACATCAATTGTGTAAAGCACATTTGTACATTCATTGCCCTCATCGTTCTCAAAACATCTGCTCTCCACTTAAGCCCCTGGCATCAGCTCATTTTCCCCCTCCCTCCCCACTCCTTCCTCCCTCATGAACCCTAGATAATTTATAAATTATTGTTTTGTCATATCTTGCTCTGTCCGACGTCTCCCTTCACCCACTTTCCTGTTGTCCGTCCCCCAGGGAGGAGGTTACATGTAGATCGTTATAATTGGTTCCCCCTTTCCACCCCACCCTCCCTCCCAGTATCGCCACTCCCACCAATGGTCCTGAAGGGGTCATTCACCCTGGATTCTCTGTTTCCAGTTCTTATATGTACAAGTGTACATCCTCTGGTCTAGCCAGATTTGTAAGGCATTGGGATCATGATATTGGGAGGGGGTGGGGGAAAAGCACTTAGAACTAGAGGAAAGTTGTATGTTTCATTGGTGCTACACTGCACCCTGACTGGCTCGTCTCCTCCGCTTGTTAGTCTCCATTGTGTCTTCAAAAAAGTCACGCAATGAATTATTTTTCCTTTGTTGCTTTTGAGATTTTCTTCTTGCCTTTGATTTCACAAGTGATATTATGATGGGTCGGCTTAGGAATCCCTATCTTTGGACTACATGGGGTTTAATGAACTTCCCCACTGTGTCAACATCTGTATTTGTTTCATATTTTTCCTTCAATACATTTTGCAAGCTTTCAGCCATTATTCAGTGGGACCACAGGGAATCCAGGGCAGATGATCCCTTCAGGACCAGTAGTGTGAGTGGTGATACTGGGAGGGTAGAGGGAGAATAGATTAGAAAGAGGGAACCGATTACAAGGAACTATATGTGACCTCCTCCCTGGGGGATGGACAACCGAAAAGTGGGTGAAGGGAGACGTCGGACAGGGCAGGATATGACAAAATAAACAATTTATAAATTATCAAGGGCTCATGAGGGAGGGGGGATAGGGGGGATGGAGGAGAAAAATGAGGACCTAATGCCTGGCTGGGACTTAAGTGGAGAAGAAATGTTTAGAGAATGATGAGGGCAATGAATGTACAAATACACTTTACACAATTGATGTGTGTATGGATTGTCATAAGAGTTGTATGAGCCCCTAATAAAATTATTAGAACAAGCAAACAAACAAACAAAAAGAAAGATTGGGTAATAGATGAAATAAGGGATGAATTTAAGAAATTCCTTGAAATAAATGAGAATGATTACACATCATACCAGAACCTGAAGGTCACAGCCAAAGCAGTTATTACTGGACAATTTATAGCAACACACATGAAAATAAAGAGAAGTCCAAAACCAACACTTTAACACAACACTTTCAACAACTAAAATAAGAGCAATAGCAAAAGCCCTCAAACAACAGAATCATAAAAATGAGAACAGAATTAAAGAACTGGAAAACAGAAAAACAAAGGAAAAATGCATTGGAAATAAATGGTTTTTTGGATAATGTGAATCTAAGTACAAAAGTATTGGTACAAAGTCATAAAGACTTTAGTGTTTTTCATTGTATCTTCTATCTAGGCTTGTACATTTCTGAAAATGGTGCTTCCATCTGTCTAATCCTTTTCGGAACAATTCTGTACTGTGGCGGGGACTAGAGCTTTTCATTTAAGAGTCTACTAAGAAAAGATCAGTATGGGTAAAAAATCCCTAAAGAAGGTCTATTATAGAAGTAATTTTTTAGCAGTCTTTTAGCAGGGTAGCGATGTAGACCGTGAGAACAAAATGAGCTTTTGAAGTGTGTACCTTGCCAAGGCTTCACTCCACATTAACTCTTAGCATAACGTATGGGAATACGTGTTGAGAGCTTAGCATGTTTTAAGCATGCTAATTATGTCATGTGTTATAAATGATATTCTTTTTTTAAAATCAATTTATTGGGGCTCATACAATTCATCACAATACATAGATCAACTGTAAAGCACATCTATACATTTGTTGCCCTCATTATTCCCAAAATTCACTTTCCTCTTGGGTTCCCGGAATCAGCTCATTTTCCTTTTTTCCCCTTCCCCTCCCTTCCTCCTCCCCTGTCCCCCATGCACCCTTGATAATTTATAAATTATTATTGTAATATAAATTATATTCTTTATATGTGACTTCCAACCTGAAAATGAGCAGCCCTGGTAATATAGTGGTTTATAGGTTGGTTTTAATCCAAAAGGTCTGTAGATAACAAACTACCAAGCGCTCTGCAGGAGAAAGACAGAGTTTTCTACTCCATAAATAGTTAATAGACCCACACATTCACTGGGACAGGTTTACCCTCTCCTCCAGGGCTGATATGAGTCGACATCAACTCGATGGCAGTGAAACCGTAAAACCCTTACATCTTGTCTGCACCTGTGAGGGTTTCAGATTGAGATAGGGTAATTCAGGGTCATAGAGGAGATGTGAGCTGGTAGGGTCACTCTAAGTCCATAGCGATAAGATGGCAGTGAGTAGAAGTAGTAGTTGGAGAAGCTTTTAAAAATGGAAAATCATTTTCACTGTGGTATGCAGTTTACCTGGGGTCTGTGAACTTGGATGAGGACAAAATGACATTTAACTGGAATTGAGGCAATAAATCCAAATACTCCCTATTATTCATTTTTTTTACTTAATTAAAATGGTAAATGGTGGATTTTAATATATATATATATAATATATATAACATGCCATTTCAGCTAAATTTACCTTTATAATTCAGTGGCATTACTTATGCTCATTATCTTATATACTCATCACCACTTTCTGTTTCTAGATCTTCTCCCCACCCCACTATCTTTATCAATATTGTCCTCATTTGTCTCTCTTTCTGCTCATGGTAAACAGGGATAAACTTAGTTCTGATAATGTTGACTATAAACATTGATGATTTTCTAATTTTGATCCATTCTTTGAATAAATGCCATTTAATCAGGCTGATAGTATACATATAATGAATTTGTTAGTATTTTTATCAAGAAGTACATCTATAGGCGGAACTCTGTGTGTGTGTGTGTGTGTGTGTGTGTGTGTGAGAGAGAGAGAGAGAGAGAGAGAGAGAGAGAGAGAGAATCTTTGACATTTGTATGGGGAGCTATTGGGTCCTGAGTCATGAGGTCTTTCTTTGTATTTTAGGAAGAATTTAAGAACTGAGTCTGATTAAATTATTCAGTGAAATCATGTGTTTTAGGGCTTTTTATTACTTGAGAATATTTTATTACTGACACAAATTTCTATGGATTTTACCAGTCTGTTGATTTTTTTTTCTTTTTTGTCTGTCAATTTAAATCATTTAGGTGTTTGTTAGGGAATTTGTTCATTTCACCTAAGCGGTCTAATTTGTTCCATTCTCTTAAAACCTTTTTTATTTTGTCAATTCATTGATGATTCCACTTTAATTTCTCCTTTATTTTTTTCTTTACTTACTTAGGTAAAAGTTTGACTACTTCGGTGAAATTGTTAAGAACTAGCTTCTGGTTTTGTTTATTTTGTCTCATGTTTTCATTTATTAATAGTTGTTTTTTATGCCTATTAAAATTATAGATAATTCTGTTATATATAGTATTAAAGCTATATGCTAGTAATTTTGCTGGATATTATTTTTATATTTTAAATATCTCATGTATTACCAAGGGAATACATATATCTCTTGTTTTTCCTAACATTCGACAACTATATTTTAATATAATTGATTCTTTAAGGATTTTTTACTAAATGAATTAAGTTTATGTATTTATAAATACTATTTTGAGAAATGTCCGTGGTGTCAAGGGAGTTCTAAATACCGAATGTGTAAACAGTCTGTTCTTCTGATGGAGTACTACATACCATATATACTCGTGGATAACCTGAGTTTTGTCGGGGTTTTTTAAATCGTTTTATTGGGGCCTCGTACAACTCTTAGCACATTCCATTGTGTCAAGCACATTTGTACATATGCTGCCATCGTTGTTTTCAAAGCATTTCTTTCTACTTGAGCCCTTGGTATCAGCTCCTCATTTTCCCCCTCCCTCCCTCATGAACCCTTGATAATTTGTAAGTTTTTTTCATGTCTTGTACTTTCCTTTGTCTCCCTTTAGCACCTTGTCTGTTGTCCATCTCCCTGGGAAGGAGTTATAGTAGGTCACTCTGATCAGTTCCCCTCCTTTCCCCCACCTTCCTCTTACCCTCCTGGTATGGCTACTCTCAATATTGATCCTGAGGAGTTTATCTGTCCTGTATTCCCTGTGTTTCCAGCTCGTATCTGTACCCATGTACATGCTCTGGTCTAGACAGATTTGTAAGGTAAAATTAGGGTCATGATAGTAGGGGAGAGAAAGCATGAAAGAACCAGAGAAAAGCTGTATGTCTCATTGGTGCTATATTGCACCCTCACTGGCCCGTCTTCTTCCCACGACCCTTCTGTAAGGAGATGTCCAATTGCTTACAGATTGGCTTTAGGCCTCCACTCCATACTCATTCACATTATGATTTTTTGCTCTGGGTCTTTGGTGCCTGATCCCTGATCCCATCGACATCTCGTCATCACACAGGCTGGTGTGCTTCTTCCATGTGGGCTTTGTTGCTTCTGAGCTAGATAGCCACTTATT